AAAAATTACATAATAAAAAACTTCATATTGTTGATTGTGAAATCTGGATTTTGTAATTTATTATGCAAGCTTTTTTAAAACTCTCATTTTCATATAACTGCTTGCACATTTAATCTTTTTTATAAAAATGATCATTTACCGTTTTAGAAAAATTGTTATAATTATGAGTATACCTCTTGCTTTGGCTTTAACACAAGATGAATTTTAAGATCTACAAGTGGTACTACAATAGATTCTCAGTATAAAGTACAGCTTGAATAAAGTACACCTCCACAGAAAGTACAAATTTTTTTTAAAAACAAACTCTCTTATTTTTATATTAAAAAACTCTTTATATAAAGTACACCTCCATTAAGTACTTAAAGTACAGGCTGCCTCGTCCACAGAGCAGCCATGCACTTCCATACAAGGTTCATTCATATTCTACCTAGTTGGTAGAAGCAATGAAACGAGATCGAAAGAAGAGACAGTTTGTGGCTCTCAAAATCTTCAAAGGAATAGTTTAGGCTGCCAAGGATAGCAGAAATGCCTTGTTCAATGAAGTAGAGAGCAACCGCTTGCTATAGAAAGCAAGAATTGCTAAACAAAGTGACATCAAGACATTATGGAGATGATTTGTCACTACCCATGCAAATGGGTATCTGATCAGCGGATCAATTTTGCAATAGAAAGCTTAACAAATTGCTAATGAACTGAGTATTGAACTAATCAAGTTTTCTGCATCGGAATGGTGGCTACAAAAATGGAAGGTGAACAACACTGTTTGTTCTAGGCCTCGGCAAAGTAAGGTAACCTTTTGCTGCTATCTGATAAATTGGTAAAAGGTAGAGGTAAAAGGTAAAGGTTGAACTATAGGTATGATAACAAAGTAATTTCCGAGTAATGCTTGATCATTGCAAAAATTCGCCACGGAGTTTATGGCACGGTTGCATAGTCCGTTGGAACTTGGAAGACTGTCGTCTTCCAAGTTCCAACTCAGTTCCAAGTGATAATTTTTTTAGGGTTTTGGGTTTAAGTAGTCTCTTCATTTTTGCCTCCCTCTTTTGTTCCATTTTATTAACTCCTCGTTCTACTCTATGGCCATTCTATTGACTCTTTTTGGGTTGTACTCCTCATGGTATTATTAGAATGTTGTAAATAGTGAAGTTTTAACACATTGTCATTTGTCAAGTCTACTTGAGATTTCTGAAGTATCTTAAAAATTAAAGATGTGACTATCTTGAACATATCACACTTGTTTTGAAAGCAAGTTTTGAATACTAGTCCATCATGTTGTTTCTCATCTATTATGTGTTCAGTGGTTCTTCGAATGTACTTCAGATGCTTTTGGCCATGCCTCCAGCTTATCATGAACATGTGAGATCTTATGAGAACAAGCTGATTACAAAGTTCTTTGGACTTCATCGCCTTAAGCCTCATGGCAGACAAAAGGTCTGGTAAAAGTATAACTGGGTAAATTACCACTAGGTAAAGGTAAAGGCAAATGTAGATAGTAATGGTGCGGATATTTATCTAGTAAAGTAAAGGTAAAAATAAAGGCACATGCATTACCCCGTAACCTTTTACCTTACCTTGCCGAGGTCTAGTTAGTTTTTACAAGATCAGCCGAGGATCTAGAAATTTGTTTTTTGAGCAAATCGGTCAACACAAATTGTGTTTTCAATCCATGCTGACTAGGTATGATTTGAAACACGTCTTTAACATGAACAAGACTGGAATTTTCTTTCCTGCATTACCGGATTCACCATTGAATCATAGTCATGCAAGGGCGGAAAGCAAGGAAAAGATTGAACTACTGTAATTTTGTCTTAATCAGCGATGGGCAAAAAACTGTCATCATTGATCATTGACAAATCAAAGAATCCTAAATCCTTTGATGGTCACAATATGAAAATATTTAAAGCCAAGTATTCTCACAATGCAAAAGCATGGATGAAAAACCTGTTATTTCATCAACACATAAAAGATCTTTTAATCATTTCAAGAAAAAAGGACAAAAATTCTTGCTTGATAACGCCCTAGTCCACATTGTTGATAAAAAGATTGTGTTGTCAAACGTTGAGATGCGCTTCTTTCTACCAAATCTCACTTCTATCTTGCAACCATTAGATGCTAGTATAATTTGTAGTGAGAAGGCGCTTGCCTGAAAGTTTGAAGTCCTTCTCATATTGGAGAAGATTGACAATTTTGTTCATGCATCGGAACTTGCAAAAAAGCTCACGTTTCTTGATTCAGTCAAGTTCATGAACAAGGCGTGATTCTTGGTAAATAAAGAAACAATGTAGAAATGTTTTGCAAGATGTGAATTTGTTGTAAATGAGGATGTGGATTTTGACAATAGTGAGATCATTGAACAAGAAGAAGAACTCAATAGTCTTGCTTCTAGAATTGGAATCGATAGAGATAAGATAGTCATCAAAGGAGACTTACCAAAATTTGAGTTAGTTGAAGACCAAACTTTGATACGTCAGCTAATTGAGAAGCACACTAATGTTGCAGATGAGGACGCCATAAGAAAACTTCTTTTCGAATCCAAAAACTCAAAGGAGCCAGAGGCTGCAAAAGTAGTCTCCATCTCCCAAGAAAAAAAAATGGTTTCTCAACATATAGGATTTGCAAAAAAACGTTCATTGTTCAGTGAGGAACTTGATTTACTAAAATTGAGTGTCATTGTCAAGCCTCTTTACAATTTGTCCTTAAAACAATCAACAATTTAACAATTTTTCTTGTGACAAAATAAACTGTGAATTTGTGGACCGGTAAAAAAGAAATGTATCGTAAGTTCTCTGCATAAAGTATACCTATTCTATAAGATACAAAGTGATTTTATTTTGGAGGAAATAGAGTGTACTTTATGCGGAGGTTCTACTATATAGCTAAAGCTAGAGAAATACTACGTGAATGTGAATCTTGATATACATTCAGATATAAGTTCTCTAGCTTTGGAAATACAATAGAACCTCCTCTAAGATAAAAATTCATAGTGATAACCATTTCCAAAGAGTCAACACACAATTCATGATAAGTCTTAGCAAGGTTATGTCCACATAACACAGAGTATCTTTTATTACAAGCCCTTTATTTAAAAATCTTTTATTTGAAAATTAACTATATAAATGCTTAATTTACATTCTATGCTCATAAGGCTATGATATAGCTAGGGTTTAGTGTGTAGTAACTCCGCTATCTACACTAAAGTCATGACTACTGTCTTACTATCATACGTCCTATAGGGCATCTAACTAACTAAGGGTGCCTTAAAAAAGAAGTGAAAATCAATGAAATATTGGAAATCAGCATCTTGAAGATAATATGCACAATCTTATCCCATTTTATGAACTCCTACCCTTACACTCCTAAGGAAAATTTCTCGGACTAACTAAAAGCTGTCAGTAAAGACTTCGGGTTAGAGACCGCGCCAGATGAATACATGACATCTACTTTTCACATTCGAAGTTCAACAATCTTTCTCTGAAAAAGACGCAATGATAAACCAAGTGTCCACAATATCTTAACTTCCTTCATCAGTTCCCGTACTTCCATTCATTGTCACGTTCGATCACCTTAAGTAGTACGAGCTGAAATTATTAAGATAAATAATACTTTTTTATGCAGGAGGTATTAGTTTTGTAATAAAAGATAGTTTGACAAAACCAAGATAAATTTCGTTGATTCTGATTTTAGACGTGACAGGTCATTTCTAGTACACATGGACTCGAAAGTTTTTTCTCCTCTTTTTCCTGTCACCTGCAGTAAATATTGTCAACGAGTGACTGACCACTCGTGCAGAGACTCTGGACAAAGCAGGACGTTGATCATGGCATAGCAACAACCTTACGAGGCTCTTCATCAATTTTCAGATTTGTTAAGAATCTCCGTTGCAATCCATTACTTATGATCTAGAATAGTAGATTTGGGAATTGTAACTAATTATAGAGGCATTCCCATCACATACTTGGTGTTCGGATCCACGGGACATCTAGAGCTGAGCGACTTTAGAGGGCCCATCGAGCATGAAGGGTGCAAGAATATGCTTAAGCATCTTTGCAAAAGGAAAGGAGAGGACAATAATTTCCAGAACCAGCAGTAATCCAGTCAGCTCGATAGTGTAGCCCCTACATGTCACCACAGTATACCGCAAGCTTATATTTAACAATGTGCCCTTTAACAATTACAGTACTGATACCTCCCTATGGGTATCGATAACTACCGATCACAAGTCAGAGAGTACTTTCAGCACCATCTAATTGGCACCACGACATGAAGGCTTTTACAATACGTAGTTAAGCAGTACCAGTAAATCGTAATGCCGCTACGCGCTTTGGCAGGCAGAATGTTTTACGTACCAGGGAGAAAACGACCAAACCCTATCAATGATTGACCCATACTACTTATCACCCAAGAGATGATTGCATCTTCAACTGTAAAACTTCAAGCAGAACATATCCGGAGAAAAACAAATGGATGTCTAAGTGTTAAAAGCAAATGTAGAATTAAATGCATATTCAATTACATATGACAATTGACCACTAGTAGTAGAGTATGACGATGTTGATAAACTTTTGTTGCATGAATATCATCGATAAGGATGTGCACTATCATCAGAATAATACGTCTATTATGGCCTTTAGTGTTGCACTCCAACCAGAGCCCAACATTGGATGCCCATGCCCATGGGTTTTGGGTGACGCTATTTTTCCATGGATGGGCATAAGTAATGCTAAGGGCAGTGTTTGTCAATGCCCAACCAAGAATTGGTGTAACCCGTTCATAAGCATAACACAATTGGCCTAATTTGAATAGCATGGTTGGCACAGGCAATGCTGTGGGTGGGCATGGGTGGGGTTAGATCGCAGCTGATGGTTATGGTCTGGTCTGGGTGCAGAATTGAAATAAAATGTTGGCCTCTGACTCGAGATGACTAAAGACCATGATCTTATTCTCCGCCATCGTTTGGAGTTAGTAAATCCAGACAGTCGCTGTATTGAAGTATGATCCGTGAATCGAAAGCCACGACCTGCAACGTGCTTGGGACTTCACTCATCATTATTGTAAACGATCACCCGACATTCCATATCGACTGATTTTCTGTCATGTATTCCACGAAACCCGTCTTCGGACGGCATAAGTTGAGAACCTGAGACCAAAGTCCTCAAAAGCACAACACTGAAGCCATCTTGAATAATTGCCCGATTTAAGGCCTGAATTTTTATCACGTTAAATTGAGAAGGTTGGCCAGTGCGATGTGGCTCGTAATCCAGCCTCCGACAGCTTCCCAATGCATGACTCTCTGTCCGTCAGCATTTCTTGAAGCCTCATCTAGTAACCAGATTCAAATGAAAATCAGTGAACACCCAAATAAATAGCCACAGACGAGAAGGTTCTTTCATGTTCGAGCTTTGAATTCATTCTAGCTGTGATCGCCAGCACATAAAAAGAGTCTGCACAAGCTGCTTTGATTTTCATTTCACCTGCAGCGCTCGGTAGTCATGGCTCTCTCGCGTCATTTGTGTGTTCTCTTGCTACTGGCAGCCGTGACTGCTGAAGCTGCCAAGATCCAGACTTACAAAGAGAAGGGCTGCTCTGAGGACCTTACGAACACCTTCACGGTCGTGTGTAACTCTTGCCAGACATTCTCCGACCAATCCTCTGTGAAAATCAGCGACGTCCAAGCCAAGAATCGCATTTCCATTCACGATCGGAAGAACTGTGAAAACTACTCCAAAGTTGCTGAAATATACGGAGGAGCTTGTGTGAACCAGGTCAAAACCAAGATTCGCGCTGTCTACATTGCGTGCTGATCCCCCAACGATGCCTTTGTCCATCAGGTATACTCTCCAGAAGACAACTTCTGAACTTAGATCGCAAGTATATTTTTGCTGACTGATGTAGCGAGGGCTGCAGATCGTGAGATTCTTCTCTCAAGAATTCTGATAAGACGTTCAATGTTGTTTCCATTTATGTGCTGGGTACGTTCGCTGCTACTGGAATATGAATGAGTTCCAGCTCTGTCATTGACAAGTTGCATGTATGATGATGGAATTCTGTCTGTGCAGGCACGGCTTCTGGATCATGTCGTCGGTGTCTTGATCAGGGTTAGCTATGGCCCAAAGTATAGGCCAAACATTCATTTGAGCAATGCATGGATTAAACTGGGAATAAATTGTGGGCGAAGATGTATCTAGATTATAAAGCGTGCCGCTTGTGGACCCATTATTGTGGTCAACGACTTCTGGAAGTAAAAATCTTGAATGAGCCTTGTCGAGTTTGATATTACTCGGTCGAGTCTCCACCTTCTTTATTATTCTTACAATCGCTCGCTACCCCAGAATGTTTGTGGACATTTGCAAGATAAATATAAGAAATTACTTTTCATTGCTTTCAAAAAGCTGATTGATCCGGTTTGATCTGGACGTCCAGATGGCGGAAGTTTGCAATATTTTCGAGCAAAAATTTTCAGTTTGTCCCTCGCTCAGTTCTTAAGTGAAACCCAAGACTCAAAGCAAAAGTTAATCTTATGTATAACTTGCTACCCTTATCCTGCATGTAGGAATCTTATACCTATAACCAACCGAAGATGATTGGAATGTTGTGAAACGTTGTACTGTCGCATCTGTGAAGTCCATTGGTCTTTCCATGCCTCGTTTTATTTCAAGCTTACTCTTCCTATTATGCTACTCACTTCCTACATTCTATACTTCAATTCCTTCTAGATCTGAAAGTAATTCTGTACGGACAGTGATGCACCACTTCCCTCTAGGCCTATTAAATACCTACATATCTCACACCGTTACTGGTTCCATATATAGTTTTATTTTCATCGTTTTTTGTGTATCATATGGAATGGGTATTTTATGCTCTTAACAGAGCACTTGTCAATTCCTTTTTAAGATTAATCAATCACATTAGTTAATGTAGTGTCAAATGATCCTGATGTTTGCAACCCATTTTTTCTTGATAGTTAAGAAATTTTAGGTGCCATATGACATTATACTCCTTGTGATACTCTTAGGGTTATGCGTCTGATTTGAACTTGGTTTTCTTTCCTAGTACACCTTCAACAAGCGTCTCCCACACGTTTTTTTTATCTAATTGGCCCCGGTTGAAATATTTCTATATTTCATTTCTAAAAGACCGAAGATACCGTGGATAGCAACAGTAAGCTAAAGGCAGAACCTGAACCTCCACCGTAGAGAGAAGAAACAAAAGAATAAACTAGGCTGAGAGGGCTATGTTAAACCGGATAGGCGTTAAAAAGTAAATCCGTACCAGAGTTGGAAAAATGGCAAATTTGAGAGTACATGGGTTTGATTCTGGTTGGAGTTGTGGACCTCTAATTGTATCTCTTGAGAAGCTGCAATAATATGTCCTCTTCAATTGTACTGCAGGAGCATGTTATTTTGCAAGCTACAATATCAGGCTATGACACGAGAGCAGCTCAAAACAACTTGATATTAATATCCTACATGGCACTACAATCGCTTACATGTTAGAGAGTATTTAACTACTCGACTCTCGTTTTGCATTTCACTCGAAATTTGCTCTGGAATCTGTACTCGTCTCAAAGCAAGGCTAGAGATTCTATGAATGTGTCACTGATCTTTAACTGCTTTCTTCTGATTAAAAGTTTTATACCAACCGAATTATTGATACTTGTTGGTAAATTTCGCAAACTTTGCTAAACTGGGCACATTGCAGAAGATTTCCTTCAGTGTAAACCTGGCATTTGCCAAATCTGTCATAAACTATTATATTATGGCATCACCAGAATTTTATTTATGACAAATCACTTTATCAAATTGCATCAATTTCTTTAAATTGTTTACAATGTATGATGCACTCGAGTGACAGATCCATTAAGGACGATCTGTACTGGTCTTTCTTCCAACTAATCACAAAAAAATCACTCTCCACACGCGTTGTACCAGGATATATATACACTAGCAAATCCTCCAGCAAACATGCATAGTTTGGGAAATCTACGTTCAAGAGCACTCCATGCTTCATGAAAATCTACAGATTCAGGCATTTGATACACAGTATCACACAATATATCTTCTCTTTTGTAACCAGTCCTCACTTCTTTGTATTCTCGTTCCAAGCTATCAATGTAATCGTTGGTGAATTTCTTCTCAAATCAAGATCAAAATCTAATTATCAGGTCCACAAATCTTGATGCAGGCATGATTACGAACTCGCGAGGAAGACATGGGGATAAAGTTGTTGCTGGTGCATTGTTACTATCCCTTTCTGGCTTGATTGCATGTAGTTCTGCTGCAAGACTAACTATTAGAATTCCAACTAAACAAATCACAACATCCTTCTCAGCTTGACACAAGCTATCAAATGATATAGCAATGAACAAACCACACACTCGAACAAAGTGCACGACAGCATTCTTGGCAATCCTGTAAAAATTGTTATAACACCAGATATCTTCATCTTGTTCCTGAAATAAAAATTCGGAAAGTGAAACTTCCATTCTTGTCATATCCCAAAAACAACAAATGAATCTAGCAAAAGCAATTTCTTGTTGTGTGACCAACAACGTAGAATGCTGCAAGGTTTTAAACAAAATATCAATCTCTGTAAATATTGGAATTAATGAAAATAAAGCAATCCACCACATGACACTTGGTTTTGAATCAAAATTTTTATGATCTATGTATTCAACAATACGACAACGATGAGTTGAAAACCAAGGTAATACTTTCCCCAATGATAACCAGCGAGTAGTAGCAACTTTTGGACACTTGGATCGCATTTCACTGATCAAATTCTGCTGTTAATGAAGATATCTGATGGTGGCAGTTAACGTCGAGTAAAATTCTTTTTTGTGATAATATGAAATAACGGTTTGAACAACAAGATCAAGTTGATGTGCACCACACCAAAATCAAATTTAGTAACAACCTTCTTGTTCAATTCAAGTGGAGACACGAGTCTCTATTCCACGTACTCCACATGTCATGTTTCTGACACCATCAGAGCATGTCGATAAGAGTGTGTATACCCAAGATGCAAAAATTGCATCCATAGCTTTCTCGAACGTCTCGAACAAGTTGTCACATATGTATTGTCCGTAAAGAGGAAGACAACATAAATGAAAACAATACAACCTAGTTTTTACAACAAACCTCACTCTAACGTCAAAATACGAGATAGTCTCAACAGTCGATGAATCAAATGCAACAAAAAAGGCCTAACAATCAACACATAATTTGCTAAGTTTCAGAAGGCAAACAGCAACAACAACCCGAACAAACGATGATACTTTTGCCTCATTGCATCCGCCAAGATAACCATTAGTTAATTCTTCACGTGCACATCCCACTTGACGCACTGTTAATCTGAACGACGAGCCAAGACCAACGATTGTGGTACCCCACTTTTGGTAATTTTGAGGAAATTAAAACATTTTTGGAAAAAACTGTACCCTGGCAGCATTGTAAATAGCCTTCGGTACATCAAAACAGAGTGAATCCGGAAGATCGCGGGGATTCTCGAGGGATCTTGTAGAATCTAGGATTTGGGGTGCAGCAGTAAGGATGGGCACCACCCTCCCTGCGAGCTCTGCAGTTAGGATCCCTGCGGCGCAAGGCGCAAAACCCGCCTTCGAAGGTTGCGTCCGCGGCGGTAGGGAAATCCTTCATAATTAGGTCAACCCTCGGGCGCCTTGACCGAGTTAGGGTCTCGTTGGAAAGAGCTCGACGCACTGATTCCAACGAGTCCAAGAACGCTTGGAACGGATGAGGACTTAGGGAGTTATCACTATTGGAAGATACGTAGACGTTCGCCTTCGGCGGAAGGAGTTCGCCACCGGCGGGAATTCCGCCTACGCGGAAGGGGGATCAAGTTTTGTCCTATGCGCGGACGAAGGAAGTTCGCCTGTGCACAGGCGAAGTAGGGTTTGGGGAGGCGCGAAGTCCGCCTACGCACAGGCGTTCGCCTGTGCACAGGCGCTTCGGCGTCGGCGGAAAATCCGCCTTGGGCCCTAGAAATGCGCCTTGTGAGGTAGAAAGTGTACGGCGCCTTCTGCGCCAGCGCGGCGCCGCGGACGAGCAAGGAGCCGCCAGAGTAATCAAATCCGTACGGACCATGCGGACGGGACGGGTGGATGCGCTCTTGGACGGACGGAGTTGCGGCGGCGGAAGCGCCGACGAAGAGACAAGGAACGGACAGTCTGGACGGAGACGGCTGACCACGGTCAACGCCTTCCGCGCCAGCGCGACGCCGCGGACGGAATTCGCCTGCGCACGGACGAGCGCCTGTGCACAGGAGGATGAAGTTCCGCGCCGGCGGAGAATCCACCGAGGAGTCTGCCTGCGCACAGGCAGGAGTTGAACTTTTGTCCGACATGCGGACACACGCGTCGAGGCAGAAGGGGATTGGCCGAGGGGCGGTACGAACAAGTGTACCGCGCAAGGCGGAAAACTCGCCTTCGGCGCTGCGCTCCCATGTCCGCGGGGTAATACGCTCGCGGAGTTCAAATCCGCCAATTCGAGCGTGAGAGTTTAATCGGCGACGGCGGAGCGTGAAGCCGCGCGTGAGAGCGGAGACCGTTCCAGCGTAGAGCCGGCGCGGCCATCAAGTGAGACGTCCTCCACGAGCAAGAGCCGACCATGACCTTCGACCGGGCGGCGGAGAGCGTCCCATTCTTGAATTCGCGATTCCAATCTCTTGTGCGCGCTGCGCGCGTCCATCTGCTGGCTGCTAAACATTCTCGACGTCGCCGCACAGGGGATTTCTTGGTGATTGAGGGAGAAGTGAGTGCGCGTGATTTGGAATTGAGGGCGATTAGAGTTTGCCGAGAGAGAAAGGAGCTCGAGCGGTGCGGAAGTAGAATGAGCGGGCGAGCGAACTCCAGGAACGCAATGACGAGACTGGGCAGATTGCGGATGCTGCCGCTTCGCCTACCACAGAACGGGCTGCGCGCTTTCGAGGAGCGCTTAATAGCAAGAAAGCTCGATTTCTTGCTATGGGGATGGAACTACATCTGTGCGGATATGGTGCGCGAGTGGCTAGAGCCACAGGGACCACCCTCGCGCGGATTGCGTCCGCATGTTGATCGGTGGACAGTCCAAGATTGGGCGCAGGCATTGGGAAGATGTGCCGGCATGCCAGGGCATCTCCTCTTCGACAGTGAGAGCATCAAGGTGACCAAGCAGGAAGAGGCGCAATTTGTGGAGCTGTTCAAGACCGGGAGGTCTACCAAGAATGGATACAGGACCCGTGATTACAAGGATCGATTTCGCCGGACTCTGTCCGCGGCGCTGATGCAATTACTGCAGCCACACCGCGCCTGCTACATCACATTGTGGCAGGTCTCTTTTGTGGAGTGCGTCATTGAGGGAACTCCAATTCACTGGGCGAG